TCCGAATAGCTGAATCTATAACAACAACAACAATCATGCGTGGATATTTCGCCCTCCCGTTCTCGGAAGCAGGCTTATGGATGTTCTCATATCTAATGACCATAGTCTTCAAGATGCGACTCACAACATTTGACAAACTCCTAGGTACCTATATTTATTTCTAGGTGAACAGAGGCATTAGGGAGAGGGGGGGAAGGAAGGAAACGTGGGCCAACCATTTGTGTTCCGTCAAGCATCTTCTTAGGGCATACTTAGGAACCTTCGTAGCAAACCTGCTTACGAAGAAATACATGGAGCTTCGTGAATCTAGGTCGAGGACTCGCACCCCGGGATCCCAGATTGTGAGTCGACCCAGAACAAAAGAAGAACGTACTACTTAGCGTCTGAATTCTCTATAACACGGAAACTGTAAAATATTATTTGTTACATGAATCCTAAACACAGGTTCCGAGGAACCTATAACGAGATTGAACTAATTTATTAGTAACTTCAGCTTATGAATAAATTGAAATCCATTTGTATTAATGTGTCTATGTTTATATATGAACACGTTGTACTGAACGGGGTGACAATAGCTTCAGCTACCTCATCCCTTTGCGTGTATTTAGACCTCAATAAACTTATTTCAATATCAATTTGTATTAACTAATGTCGTTGACGATACTCAACAACATTTGAGTATCCTCAATATGACCCTCAAAGAGAGAGAGAGAGAGAGAGAGAGAGAGAGAGAGAGAGAGAGAGAGAGAGAGAGAGAGAGAGAGAGAGAGAGAGAGAGAGAGAGAGAGAGAGAGAGAGAGAGAGAGAGAGAGAGATCTATTAATAAAATTAGAGTATTATGATAAAAAAAATCAGCCTAAAAAAAGAGCTGGATTAGACAAAAGTTAGGGAAAAAAGAAGGAAATTTTAACAAAGCCCGCCAAACTGGCTGTGTTGGCGGCAAAGGAACACGCCACATCGGCGAGTTTGAGGGCAGGGCGGGGCGAGAATTAGCCTTGTTATAGCCTTAAGAGCTCCCGCCCACCCCCTTCCCCAACGCCCGCCCAGGGGCCAGTTCTGCCTTTGTTCTCCTCCTTCGCTTCTTTGACATATTTTCATGATTTTCCTGATAATATTATATGAATCGGATCCTTCCCCTTCACTTGCGGCACCTTCGGCCATTTTCCCGATCGTCGTACTCGGTATTTCTTCCGCTTTTAATTCATTTTTCGCCCTTTTGCGTGTGTGTGTGTGTGTATGTGTGTGTGTGTGTGTGTGTGTGTGTGTGTGTGTGTGTGTGTGTGTGTGTGTGTGTGTGTGTGTGTGTGTGTGTGTGTGTGTGTGTGTGTGTGTGTGTAACTTTTATGGTTTGTTTTCTTCCTTTTCTTTGGTTATATTTTTTTCAGTTCCGTCTTTCTACCTACTCCTTAGACAAAGTTCATATTTCTCGTCATCTATCTCTTCACTACTTTACCGCCTCTATTGCTGTTTTTCCGTTTTCTTTTTGTTTTTCTTATATACATCTGGTGTAGTTCGTTATTGTTATTGTAGATTTGCATGAGTATATTGATCTAAAAATCCAGTCAGGGCTTAATTGATATATATTTCTTAAATAAGCTGGACCCTGTCATATATTTATATATTAAGCTTTAACATGCTGTAAGCTGGACATTCTGCTTTCGCCCCGAGGATATACTTATCAAGCTGGCAAGTTATACTTAAGTTTATGCTAGCTGTTAATTGATAATTGGACTGTTTCACGTCATACGGGTTGTAGAATCTTAAGTCGGTCAATCGTCTTAAGACCACGTGGCATGGGGTTCGGCTCAAGTAATAGTTTTGGAGTCCCTTGGTATGGAGATTTAAAGGAGAATACGGGTAAAGAGAGGGGTAGAGAGAGAACGAAGTTACGAAGTAAAGAACGAATACCCGAACGAATGCCCCCCCCCCCGTGTTACAAAAAGGCATGGGTTTTTTGGGTGAAGAAAAGAATTGAATAACTGAAGAATATATTACACTAATTACAAAATCGCACAACGTTTCGAACCTCCATGGTTCATTCTCAAGTAAAAAGAAATTACAGAACTCGTTAATTTATACGAGTACGGGGTCAGGTGATAAAACAAGTACAATAAAGGATGGATCCCATCCCATATTGGAATCCCAATATATGAGAAAGCCGATGAAATTGCTAAATTGGCAATTCGTCATCCAGTGGTACATAAAACAATTCAACCCAGCCTAGAGAACATAAAGAACATCATCACCAAAAAACTCACACCTCAACAAAGCCTATCAACACCAGAGAGTAGCTGAAGGTTCGCCCTCTGCAACATGGTATCTTCAGGCAGCCAAATCAGAAAGGTTAAATATCCCAAAAGGAATCCACAGGGAAATAGCAGTTCGGTTATATAGACTACATCTAGGTTACAGATGCAACTGGGAGATTGGTGAACCCCGACAGAGGGAATGCATCTTCTGCTAAACTGTCACAGAAAAGCCATTACTTTACTATCTCCTGGAATGTGAAGCAACCAACGACCTCAGAAGAGCTTTTAAGAGTTCCCGAATCTTACAATAACTACCCTAAAGCCATCAACACAGCCACTCTTCTGGTCAAAAAAGGTATCCAGCAGCTGGACTCCCGCATAAATACTGTCAAGCAGTATCCTCCCCCGCGATAGCAGCCTGATGATTAAATGCGACTCAGAACACTAAATAGATTTACTGAACAACAAATTGTACCACATACGGGCTATTCATGCCCGTGCCACCTCTTGGGTGACTTAATCTTTATCAATCAATCAATCTGTGTCTCACACGAGAGACATCTCCCGTCACGCAGGGTGCAGTCGCACCTCCATAGATCTCCAGTATCATCTATTGACACTGGTAATGGCTCAAAAGGGCCACCACTTACGGGCTATTCATGCCCGTGCCACCTTTTGGGTGGCTTAATCTTCATCAATCTGTGTCACAGCCGGGTATTACGTTTGTGAGCAGCCGATCTGCAGGTCGGCTCAACGCCTCCCAACCCCCTTCCATGTCCTACTTCAGTCCGTACCACACTGTTACCCATGTAGTCGGGTCTCGAGGTGTCAACCCTCTTTGGACTCTTTTCCCCCAGCACCAACACGTGGCCTACTAAGCCAATCTGCACATAGATTATTTACTCCCTTTATATACTCCACGCGATACTGAAATTCGTGGATACAGAACGTATCGCAGGATTCTGAGATTGACATTTTCAACAGTGCTTAGAGAACTCGATGGTTGGTGTTCTACCCAGAAAGTAAATCTTTTCCTTTGCTGCGAGGAGTTACTTCTTTGCTGTGGAGTATTTGGTCTAAGTATCATTCAACTTCAGACAGTCATACGCCATTGACTAGACTCACTACCATGCTCTGCATATCACCGTTCCTACACCTGTGCTGGAAGCGTCTATGAAAAATGTATTCCTTGGAGTTGCCTAGCAGCTCCGCACATGGGGTGCGTTTTTTTTTGTCACATGTAGACCATTGAGTACCATGCGCAACCACTTGTGCACCGTGGTGACTGATAGACCATGATACTAGTTATGAACTGGGTCCTGGAAAAACAAACTACACAACTCTTCTCCGGGTTGATGGAGTCCCTTCCTCATTACACAAGCAAGGAACTTAGTCATCGCTACTTGTAGATGGCATTTTGCTTACTGTAGAGTGGTGCTTACCTATAAGAGGGTCACATCATCAGTGCAGCTGGTGGTAAACAAAGGTTTCCATCAATTTCCTGAGACACAGAAGCAGACTGATTGGGTCTGTAAGAACTTGGGGCAGACAAATCCTGCCCAGACTCGAGTAATGGGAGAATGGAAAACATTCCCACATGTTTGGAAAGATACCTAAGAACCAGCCTGTTCTGAAACAGACAAGTAGGTGGGACTGCATTGCTTCTTGGTACCTACAGGAGTTATTTGTTCAGGATACAGTCTGCACTCGGCCGGGAAAGTGACAGGCCTTCCCCAGTTCTCTAGGTATAAACGGGTGATCAAGGTTGGTACACATCTTACGAGCTATTTATGCCTGTGCCACGTTTTGGGTGGCTTAATCTTTAATCAATCAATCTGGTACACATCCATAGATCTGGCTGATCTCCGTGCCAGGGCCTTACCATGCCCTTTATGCAGGCTAGTCTCCTATTTCTGTGACTGGCTCTTTTAACAAGTGAATACTGTAATCAAATACTCTGGGAACATTTCCCAACAGCAAGACATACTGCGCTCATTCCCACTGAACAGCACGTAGTTTGTTGAAGTATGTTGAGAGCTTAGGTTGCTGTTTTGTGTTGATGTGATGAGGATTTTGGTTGTTTTATGTTGAGGCAATTTGATAAAGATAAGGATATGAGATTTTATGTTTTCTTTTTATATATATACACAGAAGTTCTTACATCTTTGCAAAGCCACTAACACAAACGTTTGGGCAGGTCCTTAATCTTAATTTTTCCCGGAATACGACCCACCAAATCATTTAACAAACAGGTAAAGATTCACTGCTGGGTGAACACCGGCGTACAGTTGAGGAATAGCACCTAGTCAATCCTCCCCAGGTTGGTGTTCTACCCAGAAAGTAAATCTTTTCCTTTGCTGCGAGGAGTTACTTCTTTGCTGTGGAGTATCTGGTCTATACTGAGGCCAAATCGTTCACGAAGCAGCACAGGACAAGTGTGTTACCACTGTGCCACAGGGACTGCAGAGGTAGTTGGTGAGGTTTTAAAGAGGTGTTTAAGTGATGAGGTTTTAAAAAGTTTTCAAGTTTGTTAAAACTGTCCAGGCTTAGCATTTAATGAGGATTGTTGAAGATTTGTGTTTTGGTGGTTTGATTTGGTTGTGTTGATGTATTGAGGTTCTGAGGTTTAAGATTTGATTAATGTAAAGATTAATGGAATAGCCTCAATGAAAAATTTAGTGACATGTACAGAGAATCATAATGAAAATATAAATATGTATGCAGTTCATGGGCTAAAAGTTTACAAAACAATTTACTCAAAAATTTTTATTTTGTTAATGGCAAGATTTGAATACACTAATGAATAACACGTTCGATTTAGTAACACAGCCGATACAATATTGTATTTATATTTTAAGCAAAATAGGCATACATACTTGAATTAAAGAATAAGATACAATATTGCAGAAATGAAGAATTATGGATTAGAGTTCAACTTAACATATCTGGTCAGCATAAACAGCATTATACATTATACGCAAGAAAAAAGTGAAATATGAAGATTCATTTACAGAAGTCTGTTATAAAATATAAATTAAAATGATAGTGAAAATGGCTGTTTATTGCCGCAGAATATGAAAAGATAAATACTGTACAAGTACAGTATGTGGTAATGAAACCATTTTAAAACATACCCGGTAATCACAGTATAGATAACAAAATGAAGCGCACAGGGAATTTTGTACAAATTTTATATACAGAACATATTTTACAGTAATTCTTAATGCAAATCTTGCCAAATTAAAGATATTTGTTATAATGGGAGAACAGTGGTTATACTATACAGTACTAATTCTTCATTTATTCTTACTATTTTGCACACGACATGACAACTTTTGCTTCCGTTTTGGTGGGAGAGGGGAAGGGTGGGGGCAATCACAAAGCTTGCTATCTTGCTTGCTTTTCTCATACAAATAACAAAAAATACTATCCGTTAAAACACTGTTAAGAAACGAGTTCATAATTTTCTTACTGTAAATATTTTTTGTTCAGTACACGAGTTTAATAGAAAACTACTAAAAGTTCATTATATAAAAATTAAGGTGCTAAGGCCTTGTATGAAAGGATGCATTCATATATAGTGTCATACCAGATGTAAACATAAAAAGTGGCACTTTCTTATATTTAAAATACCAAAACAGGTACAAGCATAATCAGAATTGTTATGTTTTCTCAGTTTACAATTCAGCATAAAAAACCTAAATTTACAACACAACTTACCATACAATAACTAGCACATCAACGCCTCAGGTTCACACTTTGAAAAGGATTCAAAATATCTAAAGACATTTTCAGTTGCTTCCTGTATGGTCATGACATCTAACATCAAAATGCAGTTCATGATAGCCACCATATCACTCTGCTTTTTAGCCTTCACCCACACACGTCCATTGAAACCCACGACTATTGTGTACTTAACCTTCCTGCTGATAGTCAAAAGAAATGGATTTTCTGGATCAACAATCGACCGGGCAATATGCAATGGAATACTGAACATGAGGCCATCCTCAGGTAGAGATCCCATTCCAACTGCACGATCATACATGTCAATACATACTAACTCAGGTTCCATATCCTTGTTAGCCACAATTAGCTGTCCATAAATAAGATCTCCAGGTTTCATTTCTTTCCTTGTTTTTTTGGAAGCATTTTCAAATGACAAATAAGATATAGTTGCTTTTTCACTTCCTCCTATATCTATGGCATAATTATCTCCTTTCTTTTTTAAAACTATCCCAATTACAAACTCTCTTCTTTGAGGAATATAACGTTTCTGGTGTGTGTCTACATAATACAATTTCCTAGGTGTCTTCTTCAAAAGCCCTGGCTTTGTTGCACGGACGACATTATCTTCCCACCGGAGACCTGGCCCTATAAAGATGCGCTCCTTGTTCCTGTCTGGGTTGAACTTTAGAATCTCATCTCCTGGTAGAACGACGCCGATGATCTCTATTCCGCCAACCCTATAGCAAAGGATAATACAGTATTAGAATAAAAATAAACCAACTGAATGAAAATTATATTTTGATTTGAATAAATTTAGCTGTTTGGAGTAAACTTTTAAATGTTACAAGGTATGCATGCTAGTGGCTGTACAAGAATGTAAGAACTCTTGTATATATAAATGTAAGAATTCTTGTATAAATAAATAAATAAATAAATATAGCCTCAGTATTGTGGCATATCAGCAAATTGCCTCTTTATCACCTCAACTCTTCCATTGGGTACAAAGCACATTGTACACAAGACAGCATAAATATTTGTGTGAGATCTATTTCACAAACAAAATTTATATGTATTATATTTAAATTATTGGCCAATATTAAAATCATAAAATATTATTAACTGTTTAAATTAAAATCAGTTAAAATTTATTGAAGTTCAGGATTATGATACTATACATAATCTGGGCTTCATAAAATCTATGCATGATAGTGTAAACACAACATATTGTAATGTCCTTAAAAATATAATTAATTGAGAATATTATACAGTATAATTAATAAGCACAATGTATAATGTCCTTGAGCACATATACAGCAGCTACATGATGATCAGTTTTTGGCAAATTATTATTAAATTTAGTATACAACAGTTATACATGCATGTATATGAATGTATCAAGTCCCCGTGGTGTAGTAGTTAAGATGCTTGCCTGGCATTTCGCAAGCGCTTTGTCCTGCGTTCGTATCCTGGCCGGGGAGGATTTACTGGGCGCAAATCCTTAACTGTAGCCTCTGTTTAACTCAACAGTAAAATGGGTACCTGGTTGTTAAACGATTTTTCGCAGGGTTGTATTCCAAGGAACATAGGATTAAGGACTTGCCCAAAACGCTATGCGTACTAGTAGTGACTGTACAAGAATGTAAGAACTCTTGTATAAATAAATAAATAAATAAAATATGTGTATATGTATAACATGCATATATACATATGTATGTTATACATATATATATAACATGCATATATACATATGTATGTTCATATGTATTAAAACTGAATATTTAAGGTCAAGTAACAAAAAAAGGTGTTGGAAGCCACAGATTTGTCCCCCCATCTGCTACCCAGTATGTATTAAAATATTTGGGTGGCTTACTGTAGTTGTGTTCACAATGGTTTTCACCTTCAAAGACTAGATATAATCAAACTAAAGATTCTATTTATGTTATTGTACTGATAACATACTATTAACATGAATAAACAGTTTTAATCAACAAGGCATTAACAAAAGAATGATTGAAAGCTGACAGTAAGTAGATGACTCATGACTGTGCATACAGGCTGGCCTCTATTATTTTAATTTCTATATATAAAAAAAATTAAATTGTGAAGAAACAATATTGAAGTTGCCTCACCTAAGTATGAACAAGAACAGGTACATGCATGATGCGCTGCTACCCTAAGTCATATCAGTTCCAGTGTACGAATGTTGTTTCTTCCCAAATAAAATAATGTTACATGTACTGTACAGTATATTGAAATAAACAAGAATTTGCTGCTAGCCATACACATAAATATGATTATGAGCCATCCATTTTCTGTTTGTAATTGCCTGTATTTAAATGTCCTTCCAAATATAAAATCTCGTATAAATTGTGCCTTGTATCCATACATATAGCAATGTTCTGAATTTTATGGACAAGTTAGATTCCTAAATTTATGGAAAGCATCTTATAGGTGAAGTAAGTAATTATCAAAAGACGGCACCAAGCCAGGAAGGCAAAGTAACACTCTTATAGGTGAAGGTTGACGCTAGGCCCTGTATACAGCAGCCTCGGCTCATTATCACTTCCCATCACCTAATTCCAACAAACTGAGTCTTGTACTTATGTTAATGCTCACTTTGGGTTCATTTTCCTCTCTTCAGTTGCTGGTAATTGGTTTAAACGGGTATGCTTTACAGCTTCTTTATCTCAAGTTGTCAACGTTTGCCACGGTCTGTGTACGTTCCACGCTTGAATGCGGATTTGCCGGAGTGGAGAACACGAACGGATTTCATTCTTTTCGGAAAGTGCTGCGAGCCTTAAAGAATTTTGATAATTACTTGTTTACTATTTCAAGTATGTATGTATGTATGTATGTATGTATGTATGTATGTATGTATGTATGTGTATATATATATATATATAAAAGATTAAAGTATAAAATGTGTTGAGAACAAATAAAAAAAAAGGGAGGAACATGGCAGAAAAAGCAGCACAAATACAATTAGGTCGACAAACAGCGTTGTTTAAAAAAACAGACATGGGTTGACAATATAGGGGTAAGGTAGGTTACAGGGAATTTATTAGGTAGTGCTTAGTTTTTATCTTAAACTGGTTGAGAGAGGTACAGTCTTTAACATGATTGGGAAGGTCATTCCACACTCTGGGTCCCTTGATTTGTAGAGCATTTCTAGTTTGATTAAGTCGTACTCTTGGAATATGAAAACTGTATTTGTTTCTGGTGTGGTGCTCATGGGTTCTGTTACAACCTTCAATGATGCTTTTGAGGTCAAGATTGGCATTACAGTTCAGCGTTTTATATATGTATAATACACATGAAAGAATGTGTTGTGACAATATCTAACATATCTAATGGTTACATATCTAACATATCTAACTTTTGTACGGTCACGGTTGGTCAAGTGGTTAAGGTACCAGTTACACCAGTTGCATAGTGCCCCTGGCTGTCTGGGTTCGAGTCACTTCTGGAGTGTGGAGTTTTCAGTTGCATAATATAATGTATATAGTGTCCTTTACTATATATACTCATGCCCGAAACGCTTTGCGTAATAGTGGCTTTAAGCATTGTATGTACTAGCCCTAACTATAAATCCATCACTCTTTGTAAAATCTCTTTTATGTATGTACCTTACCTAAATAAACATTTTGATTTTTTTTCTTTACTCATGTGGTTTGAATTTACCGCCGGGAGGGAGGTGAGGCAGCACCATCTGTTGGCCAGCGACTGCGACTGTGAGACCAGCTGGCGGGCAAGACGTAAACAAGATATGTTGCCAGTTGTGAGTTGCAACCCACCACCACCCAGTGTGCTGCAAGGTGCGTTAGGGACGAGTTGCGTAGTGTTTGGTTTGTTTGGGTAACACATCTAGCTGTCAAGTGTGTGTGTGGAATAACGGGTGTGTACGCGAGGTTCTAGTGTGTGTGTGTGTGTATGTGTTCAGTCCAAAGGGGAGAGACGTGAGTGTTGGTTAGGTGTTGATGAATTGGGTTAGCGAGGTTTGTTTGTGGGAGGTGATGTGATGGCGAGTGTCAGGAGTGGTGGGTGTGGGTGTCAGGGCTGCTGCTCCACCCATACCAACACCTCTCCACCTCATCCTGTGCGTTATAATGAGGGCGGACATTGATCACTTAGTGACCCCTCGTCATAAGTCGAGTCATTGACGCTATTGCAGGCCGTGGTTTACATCATCATCACTGTTTACACTGTATGTGTTGTGTACTGTATGTGTTGTGTACTGTATGTGTAGTGTACTGTATGTGTTGTGTACTGTATGTGTTGTGTACTGTATGTGTTGTGTACTGTATGTGTACAGTGTATGTTGCGTACTGTATGTGTACAGTGTATGTTGCGTACTGTATGTGTACAGTGTATGTGTTGTGTACTGTATGTGTACAGTGCATGTGTTGTGTACTGTGTGTGTACAGTGCATGTGTTGTGTGCTGTGTGTGTACCTGGTTGATACCTGGTTGATGGGGTTCTGGGAGTTCGTCTACTCCCCAAGCCCGGCCCGAGGCCAGGCTCGACTTCTGAGAGTTTGGTCCACTAGGCTGTTGCTTGGAGCGGCCCGCAGGCCCACATACCCACCACAGCCCGGTTGGTCCGGCACTCCTTGGAGGAATAAATCTAGTTTCCTCTTGAAAATGTCCACGGTTGTTCCGGCAATATTTCTTATGCTTGCTGGGAGGACGTTGAACAACCGCGGACCTCTGATGTTTATACAGTGTTCTCTGATTGTGCCTATGGCACCTCTGCTCTTCATTGGTTCTATTCTACATTTTCTTCCATGTCGTTCACTCCAGTACGTTGTTATTTTACTGTGTAGATTTGGTACTTGGCCCTCCAGTATCTTCCAGGTGTATATTATTTGATATCTCTCTCGTCTTCTTTCTAGTGAGTACATTTGGAGGGCTTTGAGACGATCCCAATAATTTAGGTGCTTTATTGCGTCTATGCGTGCCGTATATGTTCTCTGTATTCCCTCTATTTCAGCAATCTCTCCTGCTTTGAAGGGGGAAGTGAGTACTGAGCAGTACTCAAAACGGGACAACACAAGTGCCTTGAAGAGTACAACCATTGTGATGGGATCCCTGGATTTGAAAGTTCTCGTAATCCATCCTATCATTTTTCTGGCTGTCGCAATATTTGCTTGGTTATGCTCCTTAAACGTTAGGTCGTCAGACATTATTATTCCCAAATCCTTTACATGCTGTTTTCCTACTATGGGTACATTTGATTGTGTTTTGTACTCTGTATTATGTTTAAGGTCCTCATTTTTACCGTACCTGAGTACCTGGAATTTATCACTGTTAAACATCATGTTATTTTCTGATGCCCAGTCGAAAACTTTATTAATATCAGCTTGAAGTTTTTCAATGTCCTCAGCCGAGGTAATTTTCATACTGATTTTTGTGTCATCTGCAAAGGATGATACGAAGCTGTGACTTGTATTTTTGTCTATATCTGATATGAGAATAAGGAAAAGCAGTGGTGCAAGGACTGTACCCTGAGGTACAGAGCTTTTCACTGCACTTGGACTAGATTTTATATGGTTGACAGTTACTCGCTGAGTCCTGTTTGACAGAAAACTGAGTATCCAGCGTCCTACTTTACCGGTTATTCCCATTGACTTCATTTTGTGTGCTATCACGCCATGGTCACATTTATCGAAGGCCTTTGCGAAGTCCGTGTATATCACATCAGCATTCTGTTTCTCTTCTAATGCCTCAGTGACTTTGTCGTAGTGCTCAAGTAGCTGTGAGAGGCACGATCTTCCCGCTCGAAATCCATGTTGGCCTGGGTTATGAAGGTCATTGGTCTCCATGAAATTGGTGACCTGACTCCTAATCACTCTCTCAAATACTTTTATGATGTGCGATGTTAGTGCAACTGGTCTATAATTTTTTGCCAATGCTTTGCTCCCTCCCTTGTGTAGAGGGGCTATGTCTGCTACTTTAAGTGCATCTGGTATCTCCCCCGTGTCCAAGCTCTTCCTCGACACTATACTGAGTGCCTGTGCTACCGGCACTTTGCATTTCTTTATAAATATTGAATTCCATGAGTCTGGACCTGGGGCCGAGTGCATGGGCATGTTTTCAATTTCTTTTTCAAAATTTAGTGCGCTCGTGTTTATATCAGTTATATTTACCGGGGTTTGAATATCCCGCATAAAGAAATTGTCTGGATCTTCCACCTTCATGTTGTTTATTGGAGTGCTAAACATGTCCTCATACTGCTTTTTTAGGATTTCACTAATTTCTTTGTCATCCTCCGTGTATGAACCTTCACTTGTACGAATAGGTCCAATACTGGCAGTGGTTTTTGCTTTTGATTTCGCATATGAGAAAAAATATTTTGGATTTTTCTTTATTTCCTGAATTGCTTTCTGTTCTAACTGCCTTTCTTCAGTTTCATATGAGTGTTTCAATTTCCGCTCGATTTCTTCAATCTCCCTATTTAAATTATTCCTTCTTTGACGGGAAATTCGTGTCTGCATAAGCAGTTCCGTTATTTTTTTCCTGCGTTTATAGTGTCGTCTGCGTTCTCTTTCTACGTTAGATCTCTTTCTGGCTTTCCTCAAAGGAACATGTTTCAGACAGACTTGATACGCTTCTGAAGTAAGTTTTTCTATTCCTTCTGTAGGACTTGTATTATTTAGAACAGTTCCCCATGGAATGTTTGTAAGTTCCCTGTTTATTATCTCCCAGTCTATCCTTTTATTATTAAAATTGAATTTACTGAATAGCCCCTCTCGCTTTATCAACGTTTTAGGTCTATTCTGAGTATTGATGGTCGTTTGCACTTCAATGAGTTTGTGATCTGAGTATGTGGTATCTGATATCGTAATGTCTCTGATAATGTCTTCATTGTTCGTAAAGACCAGATCTAGAATATTTTCATTTCTCGTTGGCTCCGATATCTGCTGATTGAGTGAAAATTTGTCACAGAATCTAAGTAGTTCTCTAATCTGTGGTTGGTTAGGTCCTGATAGATTTCCTGGTATAATATTATTGTTTGCTATTTTCCACCTGAGACTAGGCAAGTTGAAGTCACCTAGGAAAATAATATCAGGTATCGGGTTCTCCAAATTATCAAGGCTATTCTCTATTTTGCTTATCTGTTCTGTGAATTCCTCAGCCATTGCATCTGGCGGTTTGTATATTAGTATAATCACTAAATTTATTTTCTCTATTTTTAATCCCAGTACCTCTACCACCTCATTTGTAACGTTTAGGAGCTCCGAGCATAGTGCATGTACAGTGCATGTGTTGTGTGCTGTGTGTGTACAGTGCATGTGTTGTGTGCTGTGTGTGTACAGTGCATGTGTTGTGTGCTGTGTGTGTACAGTGCATGTGTTGTGTGCTGTGTGTGTACAGTGCATGTGTTGTGTGCTGTGTGTGTACAGTGCATGTGTTGTGTGCTGTGTGTGTACAGTGCATGTGTTGTGTGCTGTGTGTGTACAGTGCATGTGTTGTGTGCTGTGTGTGTACAGTGCATGTGTTGTGTGCTGTGTGTGTACAGTGCATGTGTTGTGTGCTGTGTGTGTACAGTGCATGTGTTGTGTGCTGTGTGTGTACAGTGCATGTGTTGTGTGCTGTGTGTGTACAGTGCATGTGTTGTGTGCTGTGTGTGTACAGTGCATGTGTTGTGTGCTGTGTGTGTACAGTGCATGTGTTGTGTGCTGTGTGTGTACAGTGCATGTGTTGTGTGCTGTGTGTGTACAGTGCATGTGTTGTGTGCTGTGTGTGTACAGTGCATGTGTTGTGTGCTGTGTGTGTACAGTGCATGTGTTGTGTGCTGTGTGTGTACAGTGCATGTGTTGTGTGCTGTGTGTGTACAGTGCATGTGTTGTGTGCTGTGTGTGTACAGTGCATGTGTTGTGTGCTGTGTGTGTACAGTGCATGTGTTGTGTGCTGTGTGTGTACAGTGCATGTGTTGTGTGCTGTGTGTGTACAGTGCATGTGTTGTGTGCTGTGTGTGTACAGTGCATGTGTTGTGTGTGTGTGTACTGTGTGTGTACAGTGCATGTGTTGTGTGCTGTGTGTGTACACAGTGCATGTGTTGTGTGCTGTGTGTGTACAGTGCATGTGTTGTGTGCTGTGTGTGTACAGTGCATGTGTTGTGTGCTGTGTGTGTACAGTGCATGTGTTGTGTGCTGTGTGTGTACAGTGCATGTGTTGTGTGCTGTGTGTGTACAGTGCATGTGTTGTGTGCTGTGTGTGTACAGTGCATGTGTTGTGTGCTGTGTGTGTACAGTGCATGTGTTGTGTGCTGTGTGTGTACAGTGCATGTGTTGTGTGCTGTGTGTGTACAGTGCATGTGTTGTGTGCTGTGTGTGTACAGTGCATGTGTTGTGTGCTGTGTGTGTACAGTGCATGTGTTGTGTGCTGTGTGTGTACAGTGCATGTGTTGTGTGCTGTGTGTGTACAGTGCATGTGTTGTGTGCTGTGTGTGTACAGTGCATGTGTTGTGTGCTGTGTGTGTACAGTGCATGTGTTGTGTGCTGTGTGTGTACAGTGCATGTGTTGTGTGCTGTGTGTGTACAGTGCATGTGTTGTGTGCTGTGTGTGTACAGTGCATGTGTTGTGTGCTGTGTGTGTACAGTGCATGTGTTGTGTGCTGTGTGTGTACAGTGCATGTGTTGTGTGCTGTGTGTGTACAGTGCATGTGTTGTGTGCTGTGTGTGTACAGTGCATGTGTTGTGTGCTGTGTGTGTACAGTGCATGTGTTGTGTGCAGTGTGTGTGTACAGTGCATGTGTTGTGTGCTGTGTGTGTACAGTGCATGTGTTGTGTGCTGTGTGTGTACAGTGCATGTGT